GATATGATCTCCTCCGCCCAACATCTCAAGCTCCCGGGATAGATCCATTGATGTCGCATTAGAAGCTAATCACTTGTATGTTGTTCTTGCTGTCGCAGACATGGAATCGTGTCTTTGTCGCGCACTTGTCGTGCGTCCGAGCTAGGGGTGTGCACGGGATCTAGACCAAATTGGCCAACTCTGGGCGGATACCGCGGGAACCAGTCTTGTTCTTAGTTTCCATATTCCGAACCGCCCGGACCGGACCACACCGATATGCTTTTTTTTCTAATTTTTCCTTTTCTTTTAAAGAGTAAAGAAAAAGAAATTGCTAAAACCCTAAACCGGACCGGTCCAACCCGGGAACCGGTCCAACTAGGGAACCGGACCAGGACTGACCAGTCCAGTCCGATTCCTGGTTCCAGCCGGTTTGGTTCCCGGTTCTAGGGTGGAACCGGCCCAACCCGGAAACCGATCACGCCTAATTTCATCAAACTCTTGCTGTTGCCCATCATTTAATAATCATTTTATATGGTCAAGGTCCAACATTTGTGGTTAATTCCTGTTTCAAGGAGCAACAAAAACAGAGGAGAGATTAATCAGCCAAATCACCCCCCTCTTAATTTCCTCATGAATCAGAAGGTAGTCTAGTACTGGATCAGCCCAACAACATCTATGGAGTCGTGCTTTCCAATTCTTCTACACAGCTTGTGCTTCCTGTCCCTTGTGTTGCAGATAAGCTATGCATTGGACTCCATTTCGGCTGGTCAGAACATCACAGATGGCCAAACGATAGTCTCCGCCGGTGGGAACTTTGAGCTAGGATTCTTCAGCCCCGGAAGCTCCAAGAACTGGTATGTGGGCATATGGTACAAGAAGATATCGGCCGGGAGGGTGGTTTGGGTCGCAAACCGAGAGAATTCCCTGAATGACTCTTCAGGAGTCCTGAAGCTCACTCCTCAGGGTATACTGACTCTCCTGAACCGCACCAATGGGGTCGTTTGGTCCTCCAATGTGTCGAGATTGGCCCAGAATCCGATTGCGCAGCTTCTGGATTCCGCCAATTTTGTCATAAAAGAAGGAAATGACAATGACTTGGATGATGCAATCTGGCAGAGTTTTGATCACCCTTGTAATTCGTTTCTGGCGGGCATGAAGTTTGGTATAGACAGAGCGAAAGGCCTGGACCGGTACTTGACCTCGTGGAAAAGCGCAGACGACCCTTCACCGGGTGATTTCACATATAGGCTTGATTCTTCGGGATATCCGCAGCTGATCCTGAGGAACAGATCGGTAGTGCAGTTCAGGTCGGGACCTTGGAATGGCCTTCGGTTTAGCGGGTTCCCTCAGTTGAGGCCAAATCCAGTTTATAGCTTCGGCTTCGTCTTCAACCAAAACGAAATTTACTATTACTTCAATATTCTGAACAGTTCCGTCCCATCGATGCTGGTTTTAAACGAGAATGGGATCGCTCAGCGCTTCAGTTGGGTAGATCGGACACATGATTGGATACTGTATTCGTCTGCCCAAACGGATGACTGTGACACTTATGCATTATGCGGAGGGAATGGGAATTGTAACATTGCTAGCTCTCCAAAATGCGTGTGCTTGACCAGGTTCATGCCCAAATACCCGAGCGACTGGGAATTCGGGGATTGGTCAAACGGGTGTGTCCGGAGGACAGAACTGGATTGCCAGGGAGGAGATAAGTTTCTGAAGTACAATGAAGTGAAGTTGCCCGATACAAGGCATTCGTGGTTCAACGAGAGCATGAACCTTCAAGCATGCGAGCAGAAATGCTTGAGGAACTGCTCGTGCACGGCTTATTCAAACTTGGATATTAGAGCGCAAGGAAGTGGATGCTTGCTTTGGTTTGGTGACCTGATGGATATTAGACAGTTCAACGAGAACGGCCAGGACATTTACGTAAGGATGGCCGCATCAGAAGTTGGTATGCGTTCAAACCCTAAGTTATTTTCGACATGATGACAAAAGGAAGAGAATGAGTTCGAAATAACTGTCAGATTCTTAGTAACTTCTATCTTCAATTTATTGTAATGTGTATCAAGGTGGCAGTTTGAGCAAAAATGCTGGCGCAAGGAAAAGCACGGGCATCATTGTCAGCACCGTGCTGTCTGCGGTGCTTCTTCTCGGCATCGCGGTTGTTTTCACAAAGTATAGGAGAGATGGTAAATTTGTTTTTATCAGATAATTATGGTTTCCAAGCAAGATGGCTTTCTTGATCCACAAGAGTCAATCTTTTACTCTTGTTAGCATAGGTTCTAAATGTTACTGCTCTGCATCAAATGCAAAGTTTCATCAGATCATCTCTCTTTGGAAATTTCAATGAACCAAGTGGCCTGAAAAATATGAATGAACCAAATGTGTGTTGCTTTGACTTCTGTTTTGAGATTTTTAAAGATCAATACGAGTTCTCTTTATTTGATGAATTTACTCACTTTAATTTTTACTTGCAGGACAAATCTTTGGATTCTCCCATCAAAGCCATAGTGAAGATCTAGACTTACCTCTGTTCGACCTTACAACCATGGTGAACGCGACAAATAACTTCTCTGAAGACAACAAACTCGGAGAGGGAGGCTTTGGAGCCGTCTATAAGGTTACTATTCTTATTTTCCGGAATTCTAAATCTGCTCATACATATACAAATGCACAATGGAAAAAAGGAACAAAAAACCTCTATCTTTTAGGGTGTTCTGAAGAGTGGCCGAGAAATTGCTGTGAAGAGGCTGTCAGAAAACTCAAGGCAGGGACAGGTTGAGTTCGAGAACGAAGTCGTCTACATCGTCAAACTTCAACACCGAAACCTCGTCAAGATTCTTGGATGCTGCATTCAAGTAGATGAAAAGATGTTGATCTATGAATTCTTGCCCAACCGGAGCTTGGATTGTTTCATTTTCGGTTGGCTTCCCTCAAGTCCCTACATTTTCATTGCTTTTGTCATAGAAAAGGAATGAAGAAGCTTCCATTAATAACTTATAAGGCCTATAATATGGCAGACCCAGAGAAGGGTGCTTCACTGGATTGGCCTAAGCGCTTCACAGTAATCAACGGCATAGCTTCGGGGCTCCTATACCTTCACCGAGACTCAAGATTAAGAATAATTCATCGAGATCTGAAAGCTGAAAACATCCTGCTTGACAATGAAATGAATCCAAAGATATCAGACTTTGGTTTGGCGAGGAGTTTCGGAGGTAATGAAAGCGAAGCGAATACAAAGAGAGTGGTGGGAACATAGTGAGTTCTCTTAACAAGTGATCTTCACTGGATCTGGTCCGTTTGCTTCAAAAACTAATCATTCTTTTCAATGGCTTTTTTGCATAGCGGTTACTTGTCGCCAGAGTATGTTGTCCACGGGTTATATTCGATAAAATCAGATGTATTCAGTTTTGGCGTTTTAGTGCTGGAAATCGTGAGCGGGAAAAGAAATCGAGGCTTCAATCATCCTGACAGCCATCTAAGCCTTCTTGGATATGTAAGTCGAAAAATTTATCAGATCTCTTTGTTTATTTATCTTCAGGTTAGTTTCTAGCCTTACTCTAGATGACTGACATAATCATGCAGGCGTGGACACTGTTTAGAGATCGAAAGTCTATGAAACTGGTTGATCCATCGATCACATCCACATTCAATCCCGTGGAAGTTTTAAGATCGATCCATGTGGCTTTGTTGTGCATTCAACAAAATCCAAGAGACAGACCGGAGATGTCGTCCGTGGTTATGATGTTGGGCAGTGAGAGCACATTGGCTCATCCTAAACAGCCTGGTTTTTTCAGCCAGGAATCTGTATCGGAAGCAAGTTCTTCAAGCGGTGGCAAGCACCAAAAATATTCGGCCAACGAAATGACTATTTCAGATGTAATGCCTCGCTGATATATCTGTAATGACAATTTTGTTATATTGATCCATTATGAATATGAGAAGATCATGGCGTTCCTATTGAGGATCGTCTCTTAATCTGGAATAGCAAGACGTTACCTTACTTGAATACCTGCGACTTTAATTTAGTAAAAGAATCCTTGATGATTCTATATCCGCTTCAGTTTGAATCGACGAACATATAATCAAGGAAACTTGACTTAGTATAGAAAATAGCTATAGAAGTGGAAAAGTAGCCGTAAGTGCAAGCCAAATCAGTACCCAGTACTAAACCTTTGCTCTGTCAGTTTGTACAACGGTGTTTCTTCTTTCTACTCTGTCAAAATAACCATGTCCTTCGAATGACGGCCTGCATTATGGCGACATCATTTAGCTCAGTTGCACCTGAAACAGCAAAAAAGGAAAAGGACTCTTCACTTCCCAATATAATCTGAAGATATCGAACTTCGGTTCACCAAGATGTTTTCTGACGTAACGAGAACAAAGGGAACCAAATACAAAGGCTCCGTTTGTTTCCCGGAAAATGAATGATTTAAAAAATATTTTCCTAAAAACGATCGTTTGTATCCCTTAAAATAATTAATCAGTGAAAAATATTGTCATTATCGACAACATTTTATATTTATATATTTTCATGGACGGTGAAAATATTTTTTATTCCTTTGTTTCGTAAGCAATGAAGCCATCGCTTATAAAAAAATATTTTCCAAATCATTCATTTTTCGCGAAACAAACGGAGCAGAGACTAAAAAAGTTGTCCGAACGTAGTGAATTCTTGAGAAAAACATCTGAATTATACTTGATTTGCTTCGATAACTAATCACTCTGTTAATCGGTATGGTGCTTTAATCCAAACTTTGAAAGCCAAAAGAAACGGATGCTTTAGAATCATCCTAAACATACGCCCAAGATGCCTCTGTAGTTTTGATGCTTGGGGTTAAGAGCGCATTGCCTCAGCGTAAACAGGTCAGTTTTTTCGTTGAGGAGATTATACAAGAAACAAAGTTTTTTTAGCCCAATGAAGTGGCCAATTCTGGTGAAAATCTGGACAGAAAAATTTGCCCGTTCATACTGACCAACCATCATGATTTATAGAAATACAAACTTATGGTGTTTAGTCATACATTACAAAGTTCTTACTCCATTTATTATGTCGAGAAGATACATCACAGAAAGGACCAGCTTACATACATCAGTGCTATATGGTTCTTGCACCTTGAATCCCATAATATTAAATGTTCCACAAGGTTGCAATCCAAATTGTCCAAACGATCTAGATGCAGAACACAATCACACATCTATTTTTTACATAATACAGTATAACAGTTCAGGCTGCGCAAAATCATATCTTTACTCGATCCAGGCCCGATTTCCCATCGAGTACGCTGCTCTGTTGAAGTTCCAGATAGTCCTTGTATTTCATCCCAATGTACATGGCTCGGTTGTTCTCACCATGCACCAGCTGCTCTGCTGGCATGACGACAGTGTCAGGCGATGGTCCATTAGATAGAACGATCGATATCCTTGTAGCCTTATTGTTCACGACAGCTCGATGCAGAACGCTCTTGTATATCCCATTGCTCAAAATCTTGCTCAGTTGATAAGTGTAAAGAAAAAAAAAATTAGTTGCGATAAGCTTTATCGGTTCAATGGGAAAAAAGTAGTAAATCACAAAGATCCGTAATGACTTTTAAACTGACAGTATCCAGTGAAAGAAACAAAAAGAAAAGAGTGTGTTTCAGCAAATTTGTAGGACAACTATATAAACTATATTCTTATGTATAGAAACAATGTCCCCTGCACAAAGACATACACCGTATCTGCATGGCACACCAAGAGTTGAAACAAATTCGACCTCTCTTGCAAGACAATGAGGAACATTGAAAAGATGGAACATCAATTTTTATATATGTACCTCTAGGTGATCACCGGTGTTGACCAAAAAGGCATTTGGAATGGGATCAATTTTGACCCACTTCCCGCCATGGTGCACTTGGAGGCCACCAATTCCATTCTGCGTGAGGATGGTCAACAGGCCGTGGTCTGAGTGTGGTGGCATGCCCATGGCGAGTTCTGGCTGCGGGCATGGCGGATACAGATTTGCTGTTAATATCTGTAGGCTCGAATCCATGTTCATTGCCTCGTCGATATAGCCTGGTTCAAGTCCTAGGCTTTCCGATATACCCTTGCGCAGTCCCCTAACAAATTTTTGGACCGCCCCAGAGTATTCTGCTAAAACTTCACTGCAACAAACATTGCTTTCATTCATCAGAGGAAATGCCACGGTGGTGTTCTTTTCATCTTTAAGGATGTCACAAATTTGTGTCACTCAATCTTTTATCTGGGGTGCTACTAATTGTCCTGCTCTATCAAATTGAATCCTCAACTTGTTAATTTTCTGTAGGGGTACCAAATTGTTCTTGTTTGCCACCAAGACGATCCAAATTAATGTTATCCTAACATAAGAATCGTATAGTTTTCTATTGTTCTGTTCCAAGATTGCCAGATTTGAGGACAAAAATAAATGTACTATACAAAACTAACAAACTGGAGCCAAAGATCCTGAAGAGCTTGCGCATAGAACGGATTGAAGTTCTTTAAGTTCAGATCCCATAGGATTAATTGAGTGGTCTAGTGCTTCATGTAGATAGGGCAAATCTGATACGCAAATCATGGAATCTCGCATTTAGGTAACTCTAGAGATCGAGTCCGCCACCCAAGTGGACAGTCTTATACAAGTACAGACACTGGAATTAGTCAAGTTGAAGATTTGGATTCCCGTATTACCAGGGAAGAACAATTTGTTCAAGTTCCTCATCATGCTTTCTTTTTCTGACATATTCGATAATTTTGTGCCGCACACTAAGATGTCGATGCATTGATAACTCTGAAGTACCATGTCAAAGATTGTTATATCCCTGCATCTACCAGGATGGACCCACCATCAATCAATAATGCTCCAGAATCTCTAGCTTGTATAAAATGACAAAAGCAAACTCTTTCAAGGAGTCTTTGTCATCAGCCTACTTTTTTTGCCCCTATCCATTGACAAGTTCTAGTTGTTCACGATTCATGAGGCAAAAGAGGGTGAAAATGGGTGTTACTATCATGATCTTCAGATTCCAAAGCATAATGAGCTACTTCCGTTGGTTGGGACCTCAAGTTCTTGATCCTCATCCATAAAGCCAGATATGGCTCCTTCTTAGAGGGAGATGCAGCCAATGGGCTTCGGGGAGAGAGAGAGAGGTTTGTTTGGATTTGTTAGGCCAGATGGATTGGGTTAGGTTAAGGTGTTTGAAAGGTGAGCGAGTGGATTTTAGATGATTTCGCATGGTAGGTAATGCCACTGCTGGTCGATTGCAGTATAACCTTGCCTTCATAACGAGCAAGGAAGTTCATCTCAAGTAAATCCCCCAGATAAATACCCAACTCAATGTCATGGATCAGATAATATGCAAGCTAATGTCTAGGTAGACTTCTTAAACATGAGATTGTGTCTATTTGTGGTGGAGTAAACTCAAACCTTTATATTATAATGGAATTAAGAATACAGAGTGTCAGTATATTCAAACTGACAACTTGCACATTAGACCTTTTCTCGAAAAAAAAGAAGAAGAATGGATACCTGAAGCCTTCTGGTTTGGTAGGGCAGTAAAACTTTGGATGCACCCTCACCTTCAGATAATCTCTCCAGAAAAACACCTTGTCGACCGAAGCATTGAAGCTCGTCCCGCATCTTATGGGGTCCAACACGTGCTTCCCTTCAAACTCCCTCTTCTCCTCCTCTGTCAGATCGAAGAATCTTGTCAGCATGTCGAACATCGCCTTCATTTGGCTCTCAGGGACTCCGTGGTTAATCACCTACTCACATAACCCCGGGGCCATGATCAATAGAGAGCATACAAGACACTGCCAGATCATGTATAGAGAGTTTGTGTCATAATGATCAAGAATGACTCCATCTTTGATACCAATTTATGCAAAATAGATTCATAAAATAAAAAAAAAGGTTTTGGGTTTGATTTACGTGTAGCGCCCAATCTCTCGGAGTCTAAGGCATGAGAAATAATTTCTCGTGAATTTTCTTTAGCTCTAGTGGGAATGAACAATCATCGGTTGAACCAGCCCATCCAATTTAAATTATCGCTAGTCTTTTTAGTACTCATGACAAATTTTATAAGAGAAAGCTGATCAAAGATTACAACTGTTTGTTTTGCATCTTTGCGACCAAATAGAAAAAAGAAAAGTACTATGAAGCTGTTAATGAACTAATGAACTCAAGCAAGAAACTAATGAACTAGCTAGAAACATATGTACCATGAAGAAGCCCCAGTCTTGACAAGCCTTTGCAAGATCCGAGACGACTTTAGCCCGTTGATCGGGATTACCTGAGGAGAGGAGAGAGAAGTCGATGACGGGGATGGAGTCATCATGGACAGGATGAACGACATGATCACCGGAAGTGGAGGTGGTGAAAGCATAGTGGGAGGGGATGGAAGTGAGGATGGAAGATTCAGCTAGAGCCTTAACACTTGCTATTTTGAGCTGAGAAAAATTAGCTTCTTGATGGTGTGGAGCGACTTCACAAACTGTAGCCATTTGAGAAGAAGCTGACTCTCTCTCTCTCTCTCTCTCTCTCAATAAAAGACTTCTACTACAAAAGAAGATGAAAGAAGAGTTCTTTGGTAAACTCTCCAAGACTGCCACGTGGCAGCTCCTTCTGTAAACAGTAAATGCGATTCCATTTGCAACATCGGGTGCCTGAATGTCCGGGTCTTTTAGAGCATCATACTAGTTCCTCCGAGCCACCAAAGTAGTCTACTTCTCCCCACTGTAACCAAGTAATTATAATCAGGGCAGAAAGCCTCTGAATTAGAGGGAACCACGGCAGCCCGCTTGGCTTGCTTAGGCCTGGTCAGGCTCGACCGGTCTCAAAGGGAAAGAAAATGGGCAAGCTTGAGCAAGCAATTCTCTTTTTGAACCCAACAAGTGTATCCACTCTGGCTAGGTCAATTTGGTATTGGAAGATTAATAATATTTGAACTGTGTGCATGCCTAGGCAAGGATAGTTAAGCTCGGTATCAACTCCAACCTGCCTATTGATCCAGTTTACTCCGAGAAGCATTTCCAGGGAAAGCTGCCTTCATCGAGACTCAAAGCAATGACCACTCTTCTGAGGCACAAGTTGATGTCATGTCTAACTAACTCAATAGCAATTACGTTGTTCATATCTTTTCAGCCCAAGTTCATAAAAAAACGTCTGACTATGTGTACTTGAACTCGCATAATGTGCCATGCACATTAGTCTAACAAATTTAATGGTTTATCCCAAAAGTGATGAAAAGATAGATAATGACAGATTTATGAGTGTCGTGCAAGACAGAAAGCTTCTTCATTTTGTTTAACTCTGTGAAATGATGATGAGCCAATTCAAAGGGGCTTCCTCGTTGTATCCCACAACTTTTCTCGTTTGGATGATTGAAAGGGTTTTCACACAGAGACGCAAACAAAGAGACCTTTGTTTCCATCAGTAGGGGAAAAACGATTGCACCATCATTAAACTTTCCTAAGGCTATTCCAACTCAAGGAAATAGCAAGGCATTAAAGATTCATTGCCTAAAGGTGCCAGATGTCCAGAGATTCACACCGTACAGAGCGAGCCCTCACGTTAGAAACAGAAATTTTTTAAAGTAAAGTCAAACATAAGCACGATAATACAGGGCAGGGTTACAGCATTCAAAGCTACACCAATCCAGAACACGAGTGGTCGATGCCTCGAGTGTTCTAAAGGCCTTACATCTACATTACAGACATGGACATGATTTGATGAGCGAGACCTGGATCTTGGTGCAGGAGCCTCTAAAGTTGTTCTTCACATCAACCGTTTGCGTCTCTTGGTACTACTTTGAAGTCTGCAAAAAGACGTGTTAGGGGAACTGAGAAAACAAAAAGAAACAGAGGCTTTGGAATTATGCTTAATAATAGGCCCAAGATGCCTCTGTGGTTATGATGCTTGGCGTCATGAGCACAATGCCTCAGCCTAAACAGTTCAGTTTTTTCGCAGAGAAGATTATATTTGAAACATGGTTTTCGAGTTGCAGCAAGTACCCGAGATTTTCAACCTGATGAAGTGGCCATTTTCAGTGAAAATCTAGACAGACAATTTGCTAGCTCATACTGACCAAACATCATAATTTTGTATAGCACAACAAACTTATGGTGTTTAATCAGACATAATGAAGCTCTCCCTTCCATTTGTTATGTCAAGAAGATACATCACAGAATGGAGCAGCTTACATGCATCAGTGCTATATGGTTCTTGGACCTTGCATCACATAGTATTAAACGTTCCATAAAGTTGCACTCCAAAGAGTCCAAACAGTCAAGAAGCAGAACCCAATCACACATCCAATTTTACGGGATACAGCATAATAGTTCAGGCTGCACAAAATCATATCTTCACCCATTTCAGGCACGATTTCCCATCGAGTACATTGCTCTGTTGAAGTTCCAGGTAGTCCTTGTATTTCATCGCGATGTACAGGGCTCGATTGTTCTCACCATCTACTAACAGCTCCGCTGGTGCCACGACTGTGTTGGGCGATGGTCCGATAGATTGAGGGATCGACATCCGTGTAGCCTTGTTGTTTACAACAGCTCGATGCAGAACACTCTTGTATTTCCCGTTGCTTATAATCTTGTACAGTTGAAAAGTATCAAGAAAGAATTTAAGTTGCAATAGGCTTAATCGGTTCGATGGGAAAAACAATAGCAAATCACAAAGATTTGTATGGACTTCTGATTAATATCCAGTCAAAAAAAAAAAACGAAAAAAGAAGATGTTGTAGCAAATTTTTAAGACAACTATATGTACTTTAGTTTTTTGTATAATAAAAATGTCCCATAAAGATCTACATCGTATCAGCATCTATAAACCAAGGCATACAGTGCGCACCAAGATTTGCAACAAACTGGACCTCTCTCGAAGAGAGATGAGGGAGATTAGAAAAATGAAACATGAACTTCTATATATGTACCTCGAGGTGATCACCGGTGTTGACCAAAAAGGCATTCGGAAAGGGATCGACGTTGACCCACTTCCCGCCGTGGTGCACTTGGAGGCCGCCAATTCCATTCTGCATGAGGATGGTCAACAGGCCGTGGTCCGAGTGTGGAGGTATGCCCATAGCGAGTTCTGGCTGTGGGCACGGTGGATACAGATTCGCTGTTAATATCTGTAGGCTCGAATCCATGTTCATTGCCTCGTCGATATAGCCCGGTTCGAGTCCTAGGCTCTCCGATATACCCTTGAGCAGTCCCCTAGCTAATTTCCGGACCGCCCCAGAGTACTGTGCTAAAACCTCACTGCAACAAACATTGCTTTCGTTCATCAGAGGAAATGCCATGGTGTTCTTTTCATCTTTAGGGATGTTACAAGTTTGTGTCACTCAATCTTTTATCTGATGTGTTACTAATTGTTTTGCTCTATCAAATTGAATCCGCACTTTGCTGATTTTCTCCGGGCATTTAAAATTGTTTGCCTGACATCAAGATGATCCAAAATAATGCTATCCTAACATAAGAATCGTGTAGTTTCTATTGCTATGTTTCAAGCTTGCCAGATTTATGGGTAAATATAGATCTACTATTCAAAACTAACAAACCGAAACCAAAATAGCTGAAGAGCTTGCGCGTCTGATGGATTGAAGTTGTTCAGTCAGATTCCATAGGATTAGTTGAGTGGTCAAGTGCTTCATGTTATATGGCAAATCTGGTATCCAAATCACGACATCTCGCATTTAGGTAAAACTTTGGAGGCCACCCAAGTGAACAGCGTCTTAAACATGGACAGAGACTGAAATTAGTCAAGTCGAAGATTCGGATTCTCGTGTTACCAGGGAAGAAGAATTTGTTCATGTTCCTCATCATCTTCTCTTTTTCTGATATATCTAATAATTTTCTGCGGTGGGCTAAGAGATGGATGCATTGATAACTCTGAAGTAGCATGTCAAAGATTGTTATGTCCCTGGATATGCTAGGATGGACCCATCATCACTCAATAATGCTCCAGAATCTGTAACTTGTATAAAATGACAAGCAAACTATTCCATGGTGTCTTTGTCACGAGCCTAATTTTTTGCCTCGTGAATCATGACCAATTAGAACTTGTCACTGAATAGGGGCAAAAAATTAGGCTCGTGACAAAGACTCCATGGAATAGTTTGCTTTTGTCATTTTATACAAGTTATAGATTTTTTTTCATTTTTAACTAAAACTTCCATTGCATTATTGACCAGCTTCTTTGGCAAAGCTAATTCAGTTTAGAAAATGATGGCTCCTAAAACTTCATTTTCTCCATTATTACTGCAGAATTTCAAGATTCACCACGTGTTAAACTTAGCAGCTACAATAAAAAAATTCACCATCTGTGTTAACCTCCTCTATCACAAATAAAACAAAACTGTCATTGCATCCATATCTATCAAAAAAATCGAACGCATAACTTGTCAAACTCAGCAATCATGGACTTTATAGGCTCCACCTCACTACATATATTGTCTGTGGTGATTACCGCACTAGCACCTGATATCTCAGAGTTTCTAGTTGCAACTCAAATTTTGGCCAAATACTGTCTAGATCCGTATAAATACTACAACAATCATTCCTACCTAGAAATATTGAAAACTCGTCAAATGTAAATTTTCTGCTAATAACACAATCGATAGCCTGCTCACCTTGTGCATACCATATGAATATTTCCTTTCTTACCCTCATACCAAGCTTACCATCACTCACTATGGCAACCAAATGTTGTAAGAATAGAATTATCAACGATGTTAGCTGATCACACCTCCTCAAAAGTCCAACATCCCATCGTAGTCAATTAAATCTATTCACTAAGTAGCTCGTCGTATTAAGCGCATCCACCAAGAATTTCCCAACCATACCAATATTAAAGAGTATTTTATGGGTCGTCTCACGTAATGTTTTGCTCATCAATTTTACAGCATATTATGGTTCACTAGCACTAGCTTGTCGTCTCACTATATCTTCTTTCACACAAAATTCAAGTAAACAGCAAAACTCCATTTTATTGTCCATCCACACATACTTGATCGTCTTAGTAGTCTCATTTTTTGTCGAAGTTTTCAAATGTCTAACATCAAACTCGTGCCTCAGCACAAACATATAGGTCTTTCTCGAGTAGTCATCCATTAGCATAAATCTGGCAAACAATTGATTATTCCGACAAAAACTAAAATCCACCTGTTATATATACACACTTATATATATAATATTTGGTTCACAAATAGGAAACCCCTTGTAAAAGATCTATTCAAATTAGAAAACTTACTTATCAAATTTTTTTTACGTACTCAAACTCAAAACATATTCTCAATGTCCTTAAGATTGTGTATACTCGTTTGCAAGGAAAAGTTTTTGTAGCAGCTGGACCGTAGCACGAAAGCTACGATTAGGACATATAGGTACCACTTATTTAAAACCTAACGATCACTCACCCACAAAAAGAAAAAGAAAAGAATGTGGCCGTAGTTCTTTTTCGCTCTCGCCCACCCCTCTCCTAGGGTCTTATCATTTACTCGTGGTCTCTCTCTCTCTCTCTCTCTCTCCTTATCTGGCCCAGTCGATGAGGGTGACGCGTCTTTGGGGAAAGAGAGAGAGAAAGAGAGATTTGTTTGGTGTTGTTTGGCCAGGATTGGGTTAGATTAAGGTGTTTGAAAAGTGAGTGTTTTTCAGTTGGTATAGGTAATGCCACTGCTCGTCGATTGCAGTAAAACCTTGCCTCTATAACGAGCAAGGATATTCGTTTTAGGTAAACCTCGATCTCATGAAATACCCAATTAATTGTCATGGATGAGATAATATGCAAGCTAATAGCTAGTTGGATTTCTTAAACATAAGATTCTTCATAGTTGTGGTATGGAGAACTTGCACATACGTGTTAGAAATTATTTCCATGCATATTAGACCCTTTTTTCATACCAAAAACAAATGGTACCTCAAGCCTTCTGGTTTAGTAGGGAAGTGAAACTCTGGATGCACCTTCACCTTCAGAAAATCTCTCCAGAAGAATACTTTGTCGACCGAAGGATTGAAGCTCGTCCCGCATCTTATGGGGTCCAACACGTGCTTCCCTTGGAACTCCCTCTTCTCTTCCTCTGTCAGATCGAAAAATCGCTTGAATGCGTCAACCGTCGCCTTCATTTGGCTCTCGGGCACGCCGTGGTTGATCACCTACTCACATATAAACCCAAGGGCCATGGTCAATACGTAACAAACAAGACACTGTCAAATCATATGTATAGAGTTTACGTCAATTGGACGAAAAATGACTGCAGCTTATAAACAATTAATGAAAAAGAGATTTATAAAATATAAAGTGTTGCGTTTGAGTTACGTGCAGCACCCAATCTCTCGGATTCTAAGCCATGAATAATAATTTCTCATTAATTTTCTTGAGCTTCGGCATGAATGAACAACCATCGGTTGAACCAGCCAATTCAATTTAAACAGTTGCTAGTCTTTCAAGTACTTATAACAAGTTTGATAAGCGAAAAGCTGATCAAAGATGCCAACTGTTTGTTTTTCATTTTCGAGATGAAATAGAATAAAGACCGTTGAAGAAGCCCCAGCCTTGACATATGTACCATGAAGAAGCCCCAGTCTTGACAAGCCTTTGCAAGATCCGAGATGACTTTAGACTGTTGATCGGGATTACTCGAGGAGAGGAGAGAGAAGTCGATGACGGGGATGGAGTCATCGTGTTCGGAATGAACAGCCTGATCACCGGAAGTGGAGGTGGTGAAGGCGTAGTGGGAGGGAATGGAAGTGAGGTTGGAAGATTCAGCTAGAGCCTTAACACTAGTTATTTTGAGCCGAGAAGTACTAGCATCTTGATGGAGTGGAGCAACTGGAAAATCAGTAGCCATTTGAGATGAATCTCTCTCTCTCTCCAAAGTCTTCGGTGTATATCTATTTCAATAATGAAGGAAGTTCTACGTCACAGAAATTGGTAAACTCTCGAAGACTCTCTCTCTCTCTCTCTTTCTCTCTCTCTCTCTCTCAAGTCTTCAATGTATGTCTATATCAATAATGAAAGGAGTTCTACATAACGGAAGATTTCCTTGGTAAACTCTCGGAGACCACCACGTGACATAAGAGATTTTATGGGATCACTACTAACTGTTTTAAAAATTTAAACTATTAGTTGAATGCGTGATTTATTATTTTAATATTCTAACATGGGAGCTCCTTTTTAACTAGTAAATACAATTTTATTTGCGAAGTCAAATGCCTATTTGTGGGGATCTCTTAGAACATCCGACTAATTGCGTTAGCCCAGCCCACCAGGCTCTAGGGTACAGGTAATCATGGCAGCCTGCTTGGCTTTCAAGGATTTTTAAATTTGGTACCTAAACCAACTTGTCCATTGATCAAGTCTAATCTAGAGGCATCTCGAAGCAAAGCTGCCTTGATCGAGACTGGAAATAATGAGCACTCTTTTTGAGGCACAATCTGGTGGTGTGTAAACTCACCCAGCAAATCCAAGATTACATAGTGATTACGTTGTTCGCAGCCAATATCATACAAAAATCCGTCTAAGTACACTTGCTTAAACCGAAATAATTTGCCGAGCGGAATAGCTTAACAAATTCGATGATTATTATTGAGGAATGCAAATCCCAAAAGTGATGAAAAGAGAGATCATGCCACCAAAGATTTACTAGTGTCATCCCAGAAAGAAAGCTTCTTCATTTTGTTTAGCTCTGCGAAATCATGGTTAAGCAATTCAAAGGGGTTTCCAAAATGTTCTCCACAAATTTATTTGTTTTGATGATTAACAGGGTTTTCAAACAGAGACATATGGACAAAGGAGTTTTTCCTTTCATCAACAGGGGAAAAACATTTGCACCATTAAGTAACTTTCCTAAGGCTATTCCACTTCAAGGAAATAGCAAGCCATTGAAGATTCGTTGCCTTAAGGTGCAAGATGTTCAGAGATTCACACGGCACCGAAGGAGCCCTCGCGCTAGAAACAGAAACTTTCAAAAGGAAAATCAAACATAAGAGGGCTACGGCATTCAAAGTTACACCAAACCAGAACACAAGTGGTCGATGCATCCGAGTGTTCACAAGGCCTTACAACTACATTACGGACATGGACATGATTTGTTGAGCGAGACCTGGATCTTGTTGCAGGAGCTCCCTCAAGTTGTTCTCGACATCAGCCATTTGCTTCTCTAGGTACTCCTTTGAAGTCTGCAAAAAGAAGGCATGAATCGGCTTCTCTGATAAGAGACGATTATTCATTTAAAAAGGGACAGGAAAAAGAAAAATCAACATAGTAGATCTAAAAGAACGACAGGGTACACAAGCAAAGGTTACAAAATTACTAAGAGAAAGTATTATCCTACCAAAGTCCGATAAAACTTACTTTCTCATGAACAAAATGAACAGTCTCAAAAAATTGCTTTGCTACCTTTGCATTTTATGCCAGAAATATCATGGTTGGTCAAGAAAGACAAATTATGCGGACAAGTAACAATGATCTGATGATCAATAACAAGCTTTACTTGGTAAATCTTGCAGATTCGAATTTGGAAGTGGATAAAATTTACGTAGTTAAGTTTTTCTCAATGTTAAGACCTCATTATATATATAAGATTCCTTTATACATTGTGGGATGGCAATGCACGTTTTTATACAGCCACATCTTTGAAGTTGACAAATGTATACACAATACCAGAAGGCATTGGTAAGAATCTTAAAAAATGGGTCAATATGACTCATACTTCAGGGGTCAACCTAGCTTGACATTTGAGAAAATACGTACCTATTAAAAAACTCCGCTAAAAGTCTAATTTAGAATAATAACATCATACACAAGCAAGTGAAGAGTATTACAAAGTTTCAAAAACTTATACTGGGACTATTTAACGAAAATTCATGGTAAAGCATCAAAATGAAGAAACAGAGCCCTCTAAGCAGTCAGGTTTCATAGTACAAAAATGTCCACACTCGGTAGACTAGGCTAAAAGTCCCCAGCACATTATAAAAGTAATGGAGAATCACTACAACGAAAATATAACTACTTTCTGAAATCATAAGTGTAAACAGTACCTGTAATGAAGATATAGCAGTCTCACTATCTTTAAGCTTTTGTTGCTGTTCATTCACTAAAACTGACTTAGGCTCTAAAAGAAACCTATAATAGATAAATTTTATGTGAGAAAGAGCTTCATCAAGTATAGTAGAGATAAGGAAAAAGAGAGGAGGCTTTACAACAACTGTGACCCCCGTTTCAATGTATAACATTCAACAACAACACAAAAACAATAACCGCCTTTAACCTAAGACATACTTTAACACTCCTGAAAGTTGAAGCTTATATCAAAAGCTCCTAACCTGTTATATACATGACGAACTCTAGCAACCTCTAAAGGTTGCGCAAATAATTCTGCAAGCTTATTAGACCTCATATCGATCACATTCTATGGTAGTTTCTTTTCATTATGTGACACCTAAGCTCAATATGGAGGGAAAACAAAGGGACTAAACATGAATTGAATACCAGCTTGGTTATGACAGATGAGATTTATTTGATCTGAATGTCTAAAGTCAAATCCTTCTATGATGTGTTTCAACAAAGCAACTCACAAGAGGCAAGTGCCATGACTTAAGGTTACCTTGATTCAACACCCGACCTAGTAAAAGCAACTTGTTTTTGATATGCCATAACACAAATTGATCTCCAACAAATGAACAAGGCCCACTGGTAGACAATCTATCTAACCAAGAACTAGCCTACTGTCGATTAAAATAAACCTTGCGATCAAGATGGTCATGTAATTCATAATGGAAATTCCCCCCAAAACACCTTTAAAATATGTCAGAGTACTTAGACCTGCATCTAAATAAACAGGTCTAGGTGCTGCTAATCCACATAAAAAAACCACTAGAATTTTATTTCACTGGCATGCAAGTCTACAGAAAATTGAATGATTCAGTAATATCTCCACAAATCAAAGACAAGTACCGCATAAGTAAGCCTTCAATTCGTGCTCTAGTCAATTGCTTCAACCATTTGTAGACTATGGGGGTGTCCATGCATTCTGCTCACTCCTCCCATATTCAAATGATGAACAAATGAAGAAATTTTTTCTCTCCATATTGTGTCTTAAATAAACGGAGTTGAAAGATTTTAGGGCAGTTTTATTTTAGTAGAACTAAGATTGGGGTAGAATGGAGTATGATGTGGCTCCAATACCATGTAAAAAAAAGAAAGGAGAGAGAGGAGAGAAATCTGGAGGCTTGACACAATCACGGCCTCCTATTCACATAAATAATTAGATAACAATTCACAAACAATAACTCATCAACCTAAAACATACGTTAACAAGAACAAACCGATATTTCGCACAAGCTCATAATTTATCGTGTCAGATATCAATATAAGATTGGATTAGATCCAGCACTCACGTTCTCCCTGCATAACAAAAAGATCAAAACATATGATGTAAGAGGCACTTAATGTTATAGTAATGAAAGCAAAATTCAGTCAGATGACCATGACAATTCTTGCCAAATTGTATAACAGTATCCTCGACTGCTATGTACTCTTTCCAGACCAAAATAATGTACCTACGGCCTTGTATGTGTTGGTACTGTCAGGTAGCTGTCCCAGCTCCTCCAAGGTTAAATAAGCACGCTTCTTTTCTGTTTCCTTATTTCGCATCTGGTTTTGCACCTGAAGAGTAACCAGTTACCACTACAGTCAATGTCATGGGTATCGTAAGACACTCAAGACAATAAGTGTCCATTGAGCTAGGATGCGACTTTTAAGTATTGTTGAGAAGTTTATTTAACCATTTTCTATTGATCTACACATAGATAAGTCACTTCAAAAACGAGTAGCAATTGAATGTAAGGAATCTTAAACCCATAAAACAAATGGATTTTGTCGGGTAAAGAATCCTTCAGAATTAAAATTCAGAAAAGTGTGTCACATATGCATCTCGATGCACAAGTCTGAAGAGCTTCAAGATGGTACTCTCACATTCTCAGGCTGTCTGCAGTAGCATCATTTGCAGAAGATAAAATGAAAATGATCTTTTTTGGAAAAAATGATCTTCGGTTTTCCACCACCATAACAATTCCTTTGAAAAAATTCAATTACATGAAAAGACTGCATTGATGCATTGAACATAAAACGACATATATCTCTGAGAATGGTTCGTTGCATTCGAGTATTGCGCCATGCAATTAATATCCTATCTTTTTCGTTGTCTAATGATATGCTACAAACATCACTCTCCACACATTTCAATAGTTAAAGGCCCCTGGACATCAGGTCAAGTAACCAATGTGTTCAAAAGATATTTTGTAATCTACTTGATAATTTCTTTTCTGGTGAAATTACTCAGAGGTCCTCGAAAATGCAAAGCTCATCAACAAGCGATTTTTGAAATTCTATCTTTCAGACAATATAAGACCAACTTAGTCAACGAGGAGATTAACTTACATATAAAAAGGCCAAAGCCATCTAAGTAATATAATGCTCCCATAGCATGCTCACTACTTTCCAAGATGATCAAAAGCTCTTCAAAAAATGAAATGCAAGAGACGAAACAATATTGGCCCAAAGATTCTGACCTGCTTCAATTTGCCAGTAGTCTCAATCATGCGCCCTTGAATCTCCATAAAGGCCTATTTTAGAAAAGCCCCGTCAGTAACAAATTAAAAAAAAAAAAACAGTTCAATTGGAATAGCATGTCACTCCACAATAACCCTATATTACACAATCACGAGCAAGTATACATGTAATGTTAGTCTGTCATTGTGAAAGTAACAAAAGAAAAATAAAAAGTCAGTACGAAGCCCACAAGGTTAGTTTGAAATTTTTTGCCAAATTCAGTTCAGGAAGCATTAGAGAAGCCATCACTTTAAGTTCTAAATCCAGTAAGCCTATCATTGTGAAAGTAACGAAGGAACATAACAAGTCAGAAAGAAGCCCATAAAGTCAGTTTGAATTTTTTTCGCTAAATCCAGTTCAGGAAGCCTTTGAGAAGCCAACAATTTAAGTCCTAGAAATGGGTCGAAGTTAATCTTACCGCTCTGTTCGCTTCGTCAGCCATTTTTCCTGATGAATTGTTCGCGGACTAGCCACCCGGACTCTAACTGATGCAAGAGAAATCAAACCAATTGTTAAAACCCTCATCTTCTGGAGTGTAACATTAACCACATTCTTGAAAACAATCAAGCCAACCCGATACCGGGGAAATACTCGAACTCGACCAGAGTCACCAGACCAAAAAATACTCTGAGCTAGAAACCCGACTCGAGCTCAATCAATTATCATCTTTGTACCCGCAAACCCAGATCACAAGCTACTGAAAACTAGTCAAGCCCGAATCGGTTCACAACCCATCACCAGTGAGCTCAAAAATCTAGGCACCACTAAGTTTTTTTCCTCCTTGAATACAAATACAAGAATCAGCACCAACAATTACATACAGAAACTTTCCACCATCCCCACATCTCTACAAGAAAATAAAAGAAACCCAATAAAGCAAAGCTGCAAGGCATTGGTGAGGACGAATAGGCAGCGAATCCCAAATAAAGAGGGATCAAACATGAACAAACATGGGAAACAAGAAAGCAGGGAGATGATGGGTAAGCCATAAAACTGAGAGTGTGGGTCAACAGAGAAGAGAGAGAGAGAGAGAGAGAGAGAGAGAGATCAAGAACACAAACCGCAGGAGAGAAGAGGGAGAGATCGAAGAAACCTGCAAAGACCGAAACTTTGGGGAAGGAAGAGACGAGAGACCGGCAGGGTTTGAAGATGGTGCGGGCGGACTGTGTCGGGAAGACACCTCCTTGAGTGACGATTTCAAAGGGGGTAATCTGGTAAAACTAAAAAAAGATTTTTTTTAAGACAAATATATTTTTACATAAATACGAAATTATATTTAGCGACAACCAAGCGATTCCAAGAACATTGCACTTTGAGTCCTAAAATTTTCCTTTGATTTGTTAGAATCCTCAAACTTGCGACGACATTGCAATTAGAAATTTTGGTTAAATCATTTTCCTTACAAGAAAAATTACTAATTTATATACCTTACATCGCTAGTATTGTATTAAAATAAAGCCCAATAAAAAGGACTTTCAAAATAGAGAAGGAGCGAAAGTTAAATAAAAAAAATTAAAGGGCAGAGAGAGAGAGGGGGATCATGTGAGGAAATGAGAGGCAACATCCATAATGATAGGCTAAAAGATTATGCACATTACCTGCTAAAACAATGATGATGCTATTTTGAGATGGAAAGGGAGTATGGTCCATTGAAAATACTGATTTGGTATACAAAAACTTGTATTCTGCCTGTCTTTAAGATGGATTCTCAATTGCCAAATTCAGCTTTAAGGTAAAATTTTGAGTAGACCTTAGCTTGTGATAAACCGGAGAATAGGACTTTGAGTGAGGCAAAGGAAACTTATCATTTTGAAGAAACCGATTGAGAAGTTGGTAATTAATGACCAGTCTCATTTTCTCTCTATTCTACTTAGCACCTTTGTTGACATAAAATGCTTCACATGCCCAATAAGAATTAGACAACTCTATCAACCCTTGCTGGAGCATATCTGAACATTCCTTCTGTGCTAATATTAAATTATTAGGATTCATGCCTAAATGACTGGCATTTGTGGGGTTTATATCTTCATTCTTTTTTTAAAGCAAGACAAATAAAGAAATCTTCATTTTTCCACAAAGGATTTGGGCATTTCTGAAAGAACTCTAATGAAATTCTAGGAAGGCACTTCAAAGGGTTTGCATGATGGAATCCAGTTTGTCCATTCGGATGACAAAGAATCTTTGGATATCAACAAATTCCTTGAATTGTCCTTTGAACCTGAGTCCATTGGTCAATATTATGAGTTTAGGAAGTTGGGTTAAAATGTCCTAACCGATTATGATATCTTTGTCTAGAGAACTAAAATCAAGGGTATGTGGAAAAAATTGAAGTGTTTTGGGTTTGCTTCGGAACCTTGTGGCAAAAGTGTTTCCAAAAGCAAAATTGAAATATTAGGTCTAAGGTCTCCAGTATTCTTCTAGAATTATTTTGGTATCAAGGATTGAAGCACTGATTATAGTGTTTTTAAGGGCTATTGCAAGGATAGGTTTGCCATATTTTAGAGGAGTATATAGTCACAGGAAAGTAAAGGATGTGTGATAGGAGGATATGCACAAAGCTCTTGGATGTTAGGGGATTTTGGACTATCTAGGTTTTCTGGAAAGAATGAGAAAACTCCTTGAAATTTCTCTGACGAACTTTCCGTGGCACTTATCTGGGAATAAGTCTAGATTGCACAAACAGTGTGCTTTGTTGGCTCATCTTCTAAGGAGAAAACTAACTCAATATCATTATCATGGTTGAAACTCCAACTTCCTTTTCGATCTTCTGGATGGAGTGGACACTTCTTCCTTTAGCTTTCGCAGTTCTCGGGAAGTGGCCTTTTTTGCTGCAGATATAACATCTATATGATTTTTGCCATTTTTACGAGTGATTTCCCCAAGAACGCCTTTTTCTCAGGAATCTCCACTTGCGTTTCCTTTTCAAATGCCATATGGAAAATCTTTTAAAGTGTCTTTTCTTCTTGCACCGGCCACTGCAAGAAAGATCATCACTAGTGCCTTTTTCTAGAACACTTGATTTTCAATTCTGGCCTATAACAAGCTTTGTCGAGCACTTTGTTACTTTGATGATAGCTCCTAAATGCCTTTCTGCGAATGCAGAGGTCTTCAAGGGGCAAGTGTATTTCTTGCTGAAATTCTCCAAAAGTGGCATCAATGACTGTTTTTTTGTTCAACTTGAGGGGACCATTCCACTGCTTGACCAACTTCCTTTGGTATGGATGATAGGAATACTGATTTTAGATTCGAATCAACTCCATGAGCATAAAAAAGATTGATCATATCTTGAAAATATCAGTTGAGGTCCTTAAGGTGTAGAGAGCAACATTTTCTTTCAAAAAATTCTCTTCTTTTGAGTTCGAGCAGATCTTTTGGTTTGCCTATAAAATAGATGAAGAATTCGAATTACTTGGTGGAAGTCTTGTTGGGCTAGTGGATACATCTGATCTTGGTCAGATGCAATTTTCCACCAATCCGTAAGGCTACCAGTGAATCAACTCACCAACTGAGTGAGAATATTATAACAACTTTCAACGATAAGTGCCTTAGTATTCAACCAAGCATGGAATTCTTGTAATCTTTCTAGCCATTTGACATATCTGATTTCATCTAAGGTGAAGTAAGTTTTTGAGGAAGAAGAACTAGAATTTACTAGATCTCGGAAATTAACTACTTCAGGTTTAAATGGATTTGATTCAACTTGCATTTCAGGAGAATCTACCATCATTATTGCAGGTTCAATGTAAGTAGGTGTTTCTGGCAAAGATGACAAAGAATTCTGGGAAGAGATTGACTCAGTTTTAATGCTAAAATATTTACTAGTGTTGGTCTCCCAAAAAAGTTTCCGAGGGATTCGAAACCATATGGGAAGGAGAGGATTCTTTAGATGGTTCTCCTTCTTCTGGAATTTTTTTCTTCCTTAATCTTATTCTACTTTTCCATTTCTCTAATCCGATTTCTGAAAGCAACAATATCATTAGCTACTTCAGGTTTAGATAGATTTGGTTCAACTTGCATTTCAGGAGAACTGCCATCATTATTGCAGGTTCAATGTAAGCAGGTGTTTCCAACAAAGATGACAAAGAATTCTCAGAAGAGATTAACTCAATTTTAGTGCTAAAAGATTTACTGATGCTACTCTCAAAAAAGTTTTTAAGGGATTCGAAACCATATGGGAAGGAGGGGGTTCTCTAGATGGTTCTCCTTGTGGGATTTTTCGCTTCCTTAATCTTCTTCTGCTTTTCCATTTCTCTAATCCGATTTCTGATAGCAACAATGTTCTCAAAACTTCTTCAACAATAGATGCAAAAGTCGAAGAAGATTTTGGAGGAGAGACCTCCATCCTGGACTATCTCCATGGTGAAAAAAAAAGTGTCCGAGATGAACAAATTTATTTTCTTGGAGAAGCTTAATTTGTCTCCTTAGCTTCTCCATTTCAGCAGTTTGACCCTCCAAATAATGATGTGGGAAGATCTTGCTGGATTCGATCTGCCGAAGTTTCGTTTGCAACGTCTCAAGTAGCTTATTTGTGACTAAAGTCATCTAATCAACCTTCTTATCAACATGGTCAAGACGGGTTTGTATAGTTATGAGCTTCGTACCAATTAACTTGAGCACACTGTTATGAGCCAAAGCATTTTCAAATTGCCAATTTAAAATAGCTTCAACTGCAGTAACTTTCTTCTGTCTTCCATGCTCATCGACATCTGTGGAGTTTAGAATTTTTGGCATATGTCTGAATCTTTGTTGAGCATTTGTGAACTATTCTAATCCCAAGAGGAGAGCATTAGAATTATCTTTCCAAAGGTGGGAAGTCAGAGGGTTTGAACATACATATGCTTGGAAGAACAAGGGGTGATGCTTTAGCTATTTCCAAAAGAAATGAATTTTTTCTTAACCCATTTGTAAATGGGTTTGTACAAGGGTTAGACAATTGGTCTGTGTGGCTTCTGTAAATGGGGTTGTTTTCTAGGAAGTAGTTGACAATGTTCAAGACATTAAGGAGGTGTTGGTGGTCGAGGCGGACCATATGAAATGATAAATTGGTACATTCCTCCATCTTCACCAAGAGGTCCAACAGTAGGATCTCCATCTAGGTATCCCTAGCAGAGTTTGTCTTGCTTAGACCATTTCTTCTTGCCCTTCGACGGTCTATCGTCTTCCTCATTATTCAGAGGATTTGTACAAAGAGTACATTTACAATCAAGATCCCAGATATGGTGTCCTGTTGGAGCATCCTTGTAATAATGGAAAGGTCTCCCTTCTTTGTCGAAAAATTCTATCAGAGCCTTCGAATCTCCAATTCAAAGGAATCATTGGTGGCACATGGTTGCATCATCCAAATAGTAGGAAAAATAGAAGAAGAGGTGTTTTCTTTCTCCTTATTAATTTTGATAACAACAGTGTCATCATTCTTCTTTGTGAAATGAGACTCCATTGACTGAATCGGCCTAGAATTTTGGTGGAGCTTCTCATAATTAGTTACTCATGTGTCGAGGAGTAATTTAACTAGCTAGTCTCAAAGGATCTGTCTAGGAACATGGACGTATAATGTTTAATCATTATCAACAGAGATGAACAAGGCATCCTCAATACTAGGGAAATTGAGATCAATAGCATGGTTCTAGACCCGATAAACCATTTGGTAATGTAGAGTGGCAGCAACAGAGTCTAAAGTTTGAGAGCTCGAGGGAGTTGCAACTGGACTTTGAGAGCAAAAAGGAGCCAAGCCATGTAGAAGTTTGGAAACAGTTTAACAAACACTATTCTAGCACTAAAGGTTGTTTGGATCATACTAAGGCAAGCATGTTGGCAATCCAAAAGGCAAGTCTCCAATAAGGTCATACAATCAACAATTGGAAGGCATTTTCTTCCATGGAAAAATAGGGCAAGACGTACGACCCCAAACTGCAAGTGCATATAGCCTTGTTGTATCCATTGCCGAGGAAAGTTTGATAGAATTTGTAGAGTAACAAAATGTTCTTGTTAGATTGCTGGTATAGGATGCTAGTCAAATTTGGAAGACTGAACATACTCCTTAACTTCTCGAAGAGTATATTTAATAAGGTGCTAGATAAACCGGATAGGGGAGAAAGAGGAAGTTTAGCATATATAGAATATGAATTTATAAGTAGAAGATGGGTTTCTGAGATCTTACTATTCTCGTTGAGGTATGAAAAACCTCATAGAGGTAGTCGT